TTGCTATTGCTATTGCTATTGCTACTACCGATTCGCTCGTGCTTGCGCGTGTGTGCAGAAGCATCCAGGTGGGGGAGCGGAGCCTCCCGCCGCCGCCACTACCTTTTTGTCCGATCCGGGAGCAACCCACCTCTGCATCATAGCACCAGTTTTTAAAACAATAGAAGATGAACAAGTGTAACTGAAGCTGGTGCTGAAAGTAGTGGCACATCCGTGAATGAACAGGAAAGGAATTCCAGAACTGGATAGTTGTACCAAAAATGCTCTCCGTTGGGCCACAACTCTAAGAATATATTTTCTTGTTTCTTTTTCAAGGCCAGACTTCTCCTTCTACAGTAGCCAGCAACCTCTGTTGTAAATAATGTTTACCTATTTTTCTCCACTCTAAACCTGAAGTACTAACCATGAATTTCATTCTTAAGGCTAGAAGGTTTTACAGTTGCCTCTGATTTTACAGGATTCTTTAACATTTCAGGTTCATGCATTTGTTTTTCTAAATTATTACACACTGTAATAGTTAAGAATCTGCACTGAGGAAATCTCTACTTTAAAACATAGTCCTTCATTAAAGGCTCCACATCCTGCAGAATTAGGCTTTGAGTAACATTTAGTGTAAGAGACATAGGCAGCATCTTCTAATATTAATTAGACATTAGATTTAAATCCATCTTTCCTCCAACGGCTTAAGGAAAAGTACTTTGTCTTCCAATTTTATTCTCCCAGCAGCAAGGTTGGATTTAGAGATAGTGACTGGTCCAAATTCCCTCAAAGAACTCCTGTGGATGAAGACTAAAATACTAAAATGGTAGAGGACCAGAATGTAGCTAATTCCATGACCAGAATCTAATGAGGAAATGATATGATGAGAAATCACCAATCAAACTGATTCCAACAGAGTTTGACAGAATGCACGGAAATGAAACTTCAGTGTACAATTTTTGGCTTCTCTTTTGCTCTGAATATTTTCTTTAATACCAATATTTTCTTTAACATTTTCTTAAGGGAAAATGAACCATCCATCCGTATACACCAATTCACTGATACGTTTGAATATTTTTAAATTGACCCCTACCTTATGCTGAAATTCAGAGAAAGCCTGATGGCACTAATGACATTTTATCTGAAAATGTGTGGCAGTGGTGTAGAGCAGGAGCAGAGATATTAAATTGTCCCTATTTGGTGCAATTAAGATAATAATGGTTAATACAAGGATATTTCTTGGAATGACTTTTGAGTCATATGATTTTAAAACCTGCACAACTTCCTCTAATTATAGGAATTGTATTTATCTTCTCAGGTTTTTCCTTGGAATCAAATAATTACAGTTATTTTGCGATCAACTCTGGAATCTTAAATAATATTGCCCCTTTTTTTCTTTTGTAGAACATATCTACACCTTAAAATTCCATTTCTGCTTTTCATTTTAATTCTCATGGTTTCTTCAAAGGATCTTGGGAATTGTAGTTCTGTGAAATGTTGGTTATTTTTAAAGAAGTTCCTATCCCATAGAACTACAACTGGAAATATGGAATATCTATTAAACCAATTCCAATAGCGCACAAATATTGGCCCATTGTATCAGAGGCTAGACAAGGAAAACAAAAATGGCCACCTTAAAAAATTGGCAGGTATTTTGGTGCCTTCTTTCAAATTGCATTAGAGATGGAAAACTGCAAAATTTACTGAATAACCTGAAAATATGTTCTGCGGCTGTCTTTTTTTTTTTGGGCTGTCAGCTAATAGTTACTGCTTTATTTAACCACGTTGCCAGCCAAGAGCCTGATTAAGATATCCAAGGCTTGACTCACAGTATGATCTCCTCAGGAGAAATCACTGTCGTAGTCTACATCCGGCATCTGCTTCTGGATGTGGACTGGAACTGACTGAGAGAGATATCTCTATTCAGTGAGACTCTGACTCACTGAGACAACCCGTGCACTATTGGATCATCATTTCAGAGATATTTCCTTACCTAAACAGAAACAGAATGACCACAGCTGGACAAAAGAGCAGTGGAAGCAGGAGTGACTTCTAACTTCCTGCCAGTTTCCACACTGAGCATCAGAAATCTTTTTCCCTTCCTCTTTTCCTGTCATTCAGTCATTTCCTTCCTTCCTTTTCTCCCTCCCTCCTGCAATTAAGTGGCTGCTGACAATGAGAGTTTTAGTAGAATATAGAGCCTTCCTCTCCTCCAGCTAGACTTTCTAATCAAATATGAGTCCTACGAAGTGCTATGATTTCTGTTATGATAATATTGTGTAAGTCTTTCGTAAGGCCCTAAAATCCTGGCTATGTTCTGGGGTGCTCAATGTGTTAAAGGCCCTGCTTTCTGCCTGTATTATGGTCAAGTATCTTGGCTGCTATGCATAGTTATTTTGGATGTTTTTAGTGTTTTTATTATTTTTAATTGTAATATTTTTTAAATTGTAAGCCGCCCGGAGTCATTGACTGAGAAAATTAAATACACGAATGAATGAATGAATAAATGAATAAATAAATAAATAAATTTTAGACCACATCCTTTGAGAACGTTTTTACCAGAATTTTATAGTCCAACCAGATTTGATTTCATTACAGTTCATAGCTGACTGAAGGGATGAACATCATTTGAAAAATGTGATGCTGTATTACAGATTTCTCCAGTTTAATAACTTCTGGTTGCGCAGCACTACAATTTCCAAATCTCCCAGTCAGTTTGGAATTGAAACAAAAATATTGGGGAAAGGACCTGCTTGTGAAAAACTAATTTTTCTTTCCTTCCTCCCTCCCTCCCTCCCTCCCTCCCATCTATCCATCCATCCATCATTTGAATTAGTTGCCTTCCAATCTCACCTTGGCAACTCTGGGTGTCTTATAAAATTCTTAACCATAATACAAATGACAAAACCACAATACATGCAGTACATTAGCAGCCAAGATAAAAACCAATCTGCCACTGACGAACAAGAAACTCAAATATCAATCTGACCCCATGCCAGAGAACACATCCAAGTATTTGAGGCTTTGCAAAAAACCAACAGGGTCAGGGTGCCAATATAATCTTGGGGGAAATGAATGGTGTTTGGTTGTTGTAAAAACATTCTTTCTGGGCTTCTGCTCACTCTGTCAACTTTTGTCTATATGCTATCATGACCCAGTCAATGGCATCCCTGACGATCCCTCCTTCTTACTCCAACCATTCTTGTCCAGTGATGAGGACCCAAATAGTTGAGGGCAATAGGCTGACTCTGTAAACTGCTTAGAGAGGGCTGTAAAGCACTGTAAAGCAGTATATAAGTCTAAGTGATATTGCTATTCTCAGCTTCTCCCAAACAATGTCCTGATTTATCAAGCTAGAGGAACTTCTACTTTCTGGCTCTTACCCGCTGCTCCTGGCAGGAAACAAAGGTCTGGAAACCAGGGGAGACTCCAAATCCCAACTGATGAATGTAGGGTGGCTCATCCTGACTGTGGATCTGTACCCGGATTCCAGCTTCAAATGATGTCTCATCTGGAACAAGAAGTGGTGGTGCCCTGGTTAGCATTTTTTTTGAGAGGGCATCAGTGGAATACGTCCGTTCATCTGACAGCCATGACGCTATTCATTGTAGACACATTTCTCAATCTCCTCCCCCGTATGACTGTGTTTGTTTCCTGCCTTGTCAAGGGGATTCGTTAGTTACTAAATAATAAAAGCTGTCAAATATATATATATATTTATTAATGGCTATATATTACAAGTTTTAAAAAGGTCAGAGACACGCTGCCAGGATTTCTTGAATTGATACATTACTTTTTCATGAGTCTGATGTGGTGGTATATCTACCATAATTAATCTTTGTATTATTTCCAACCAAACCCAATACTGGAAAGGAGTTGCCAGCTCTGCCTTCTGAGCCTCCCTCCACCCTCTCAGTCACATGACCTGGTTTGCATTTATTATGAAGGGACCAGAAAAAATTCTAAAAGCTGTCATTTGCATGCTTTCCCTGCTTTGTTTAAAACACAAAATATGGAGTGATAACCAAACTGTCTGTATATTTGTTATATTTTTGATATTCAGGAACTGAACAGGGTATGCAGCTGCTTTCCTAACTTTGGGAACTCGAGTCTTCAACTGTCAACACATCTGGAGGAGAACAGAAACCTGATACAGATTTTTTTACTATTACAAGTAACACATTTGTGACTCTTAGTTTCTGAAGACAGACAGTAATTTAATCAATATTTCTATGCTTTTGGGATTGGATGTAGTATTTTACATGCACGTTTTCTTTTTATGACCCTTTAATTCCTTTATTCCGCGTAGAGCAGGGCAACTGAATGGAGCTGAGCATTTACTGGCCAGGTCCCCTTCCTTACACCTAAGCTGAGCATGTAGCAGATATTTTCTCTTTGTACCCAGATAGAAAAATATCTGCTGTGCCTAGGATTGAACTCTCAACCTTCCGAGTGAGAGGTAAGTATCTTCACTTCTAGGCCCACCAAGCTGCTTAATATCTGTCATGCATAAAAGGAGTACGCTAGAAAGTCAGGACAGGGATAGCCCTCTGGACTAATAATGTAAGGACTCCAGAATCATGTCTCTTTCTAATATCATGCAAGTTCTTACTGGTTTCTCTCCAGATGGGCAGGTATTCCTCCTGTTGGATGTCCAACATGATCTCCAGCCCATTCCCCATCCCACTCTGGCGAGTCATCCGTGCTTTGTTTCTGTCACCATTGAATGTGTAGCATTTTCCATAGCGGGTGTAGACCTGTGGAGAAAGGACAGATCAAAGGAGTCCAATATTCTGGGGATGCCAACAATACTGCAGATATCAGTATGGTTACAAGGGGTGGGGAGATTTCCCTTCACCTGTGGCTATTGTAATCCTAATCCATTCTTCACTCTATTTACTTCTTTCTTTCTCTTTTCCTCCCCCTTCCTTTGCTTTTAAAAAAAGGAAGGTGGGGGGAGGCAGGCAGACAGACAGACAGATAGACACTTGGAGAGCTTCAGTCCTGCCTGACAAATTTTATTTCTTGGCTACTTTCATCACATCAGGGGGACAATTCACTCCAGCATAAAAGAGAGAGGGATATAACAATCCAGAGAGGAATGAAATTATATAGCCACACACGAAACAAAGAACACTACAGTCTTTACAAAGTCAGAGGGCACATTTATTGTGCACTTCTCAGGGGCACCTAGCTGGTCACTGAGAAGCAAACACAGAACTAAAAAAAGATTTTGATGTGATCCAGTGGCTTTTGTAATTTTAGAATATACAATACTGCATTGCAGCTATCTGATTTTTCTAAGACTGGGGCTGGAGAAGGGGAAAAAAATGGTGCTGGAAATCAAAGACCGCAGCAACCTCCAGAATTCAATATCAAGTTTGAAAGGGATACTAATCAGAGAGGAACCAACATGAAATCCAACAACAGATATCCCTCAAGGAGTGATGGTGGCTGCATTTGTATCCTGAGCACTCAAGAAGTTCAATCACTTTCTTAAACAGAGAAACCATTCTAAATGTTGTAAGCCACCAAGAGTCACCTACATGTGAGTTGGACAACTATTGAAATTTGTTTAATAAATAAATAAAAACTCCAATCTTTTGACATTCATCAGATGCTATCAGGATATTAATACTAATCACTTTAGATCAATTCCCTTTTATCTTGGTCACTGTTAGTCTGATATTTCAGATTTCTGAGCTCTGGGATCGATCAGAAATATTTTAGGATTTTTTTCCCCTTTAGAATCAATATGCACACAATACTTTGATAATCCTAGTAGGTGAAGCCATGGATAGTTTTTGTGAAAACCAATGGGTGGCTTATTAACAGAGATAATAGGTATAATAGAAGTGCTGTTCTGACACCAGGGAGAAAAGAATATCAATTGCCAAGAAAACAGAATTGAAATAGTAGCTTGGGTTTATATTTCATATTTTTCTCCAAGTCATAGTGCTAAGCCATGTCCTAAAATTCATAGCATCTAAGTCCCCAGGACTATGGGTCATAATTTCAGAATGAAAAATAACAGGAGCCTATGATGAAAGAGTAGATTACTTGCAATCTGCTAAAACGAGTAAAGGTTTACTGGCCACCTCTTTTTATAAGACAGGAAGGCAGAGATCTCAGGGGACTTAGAAAGGAGGCTAATAAAAAATTCAGATAATGGGGCACAGAATAAAAAAGCCAACATAAGAGCAGATAACCTATACACATAAAATAAAAGGCAGACATTGGTAGCCCTTGCTCTGTAAATAAGTCCAGGGAAGTTCATGGATGTGATTCTGAAAAGGGAAAATTTACATCCCATGCTATCTATTCATACAGTGTTACTGATAAATACAATTTTAACTGTTTATAATCAGCGGGTCTTCTGAATAAATAAGAAGTAGACTATACATCCCATCATCTCATAACTGCGACATTATGCTAAAAGAAGAAATTTTAAGAAAGGTGAGAACCACATTTTAAGAACGATCATTTTAGTTTGTTGGCCACAAGGCTCTGAGTGATATTTATTCCCAAAATAAACATTATGATGATTTGATCGAATAAATGAGGGTTTGGGGGGGGGGGGTTTGCAAATAGCCCTCCAAATTTTTTGTACTCTCAGTTCAACCAGTTCAACCATTCGTGTTTCCATAAATGGCTACACAACACACTCACTGGGCTAGCATCAGAGACACAAAAACAGGATCATCAAAATGTTCTNGTCCATGGTGAAGAAAAGACCGAGAATCACTGCTATAAACCTAAAGTGTAGTAGGCAAACAAAAGAAAAAAATATATATATCCCAAAGTTCATGGATAATGTGCATATCCATCCATTCACACTTTTTCCATGCACAGAGCAATATATGCACCACCATTTATAGTTATCACTTCCTCCTTCTCTCTCTAAGGTGAGTATCTCTTAGGCATTACTAAAACCTGGCAGGATGAAACTAACAAGCGGATTACAAAGCTAGAAGGCTATGGCATACAAAATTAATAGATCTGATAAAAGGGGGGGGGGAATATATGTGAGGAAGCACATACATCTGTAGCAATCCACTGATTTCAGCCTAAGCCCTAAGGGTTCAGCAATAACATCTGGCTGAGAATACAAAGGAAAAGAATCTGTTGTTGAGATTGCTGAATCAGACAAAAAAAAATCTGAACAAATCCCTCTTAGACCAGATGACAGAACTTTTAGAGAGGAGACCTGTAATAATAACAGGAGATCTATTATTTTTTCAGGTCTGAAGGAAAATAAGGATGCAAAATCCCCCAAATTCCTCAGTAGTTCTGCTGACTACCACATTTTTTTTAGGAAGTTGAAGTACAGACCAGAAGAATGGCCCTTCCAGATCTGGTCCTAAACAATAGCAAAGAACTGGTTGAAGAACCGGAAATAGTGAGGCCTTGGATGGAAATGACCACAGCCTTGTGCTTCGAGAATCACTCTTACCCCAAAAGGAAGTGTATCATACATACATAGTCACACATACATTTTTGACTTCAAGACAACTAGCTTCAGAGAGCTTAGAGGTGTACTACATGAGGTCCCATGGACAAAGGTCCTCAGGTCAAAGGAACATAGGTAAGTTGGGGACTTAAAAAAATAAAATGCTAGAGGCACAATCACACACCACTCAGATGAGAAGAAAAAGTAGGGAGAGAATAATTTAGGAAACCACAATGAATACATAGGGGCTTTTTGACTGAGCTATTAAAAATAATTTGTATAGGAAATAGAAATTGGGTAAAATTACAAAGGAGGCAGGCTATCAAGTAGCTAATACTCGCAGAAACTAGAAATGCTTAAGGGCAAAAAAAATTCAAGTTTGCAAGGAAAGCCACAAAAAAAGCTTTTTAGGCATGTCAACCATAAGAGGAAGAAGAAGGAAAGGGTGGGCGCAGGCTGCTAGGAGAGGATGATGGTAGGATGGTTACAGGTGAAGAGCAAAAGGCAGAGCGACTTAGTTTTTTCTTTGCTTCAGTCTCCTCCCTCCCTAAAGGGGAACAGCAGTATGTTCCAATGGACCAAAACAGAAGAACTGAGAAAAGCAACAAGATGGCTAAGGGACTGTTTGGCTGCTATAGATGAGTTTTATTCCCCAAATCAAGTATATCCAAGATACTCAAAGGAGCATGCAGATGTTATTTTGGGACCTCTTTCTGTGAGCTTTAGGAAATCATGGAAGATGGGCACATAGCTGGAGCCAGCATGGGTTTATCACGAGCAAGTCATCCCAAATTAATCTCATCTCTGTTTGTTTGGAAGAGTGGCCTGTAAACATTAGTTAACTCCATTAAGATAGGAGAAAGTGATGGGGGCATGGTGTAAACCTCTGTCTTAGACGTGCTATAGCTCTACATTTTTATCAATGACTTGGATTGAAAGAGTTGAGGGACTCAAGGAGTTCATAGATGACACAAACCTCAAAGTGGTGCCTGATACTTTAGATGAAAGAGTGGATACAAGAAGATCTTAAATAGGCTTGAGCGTTAGAGCTGAAATAAATAGGATGACATTTAACAGGGGGAAATACAATGATTCTGTCACAGGTTCTGCCTCTCAGGCTAAAAAATGAAAGGCATGATTTTCGGAAGATAGGGCAAGAAACATTACAAGGACAAAGTTTAGTTGGATGGTGGGGTGGGGTGGGGAGGTAAATCCTAATAGTAGAACTGTTCAAAAATGGTTTAAAAAGCCTTTCCTTGGAAGGAGTTGCACTCTGCTTTGTTGCAGTTGTTTAGAGATGAATAGCCATCTATTGGGGATGTTGCAGTAGAGGATTCCTGCAATGGGCTGGGGACAATCTCCAGTCTTTATATTTTATCATCTATATGATTCTCCTTTTTCTCCCACACACCATATCATCTATCTCCTTCTCTTCCCATTCTTCCCTTCTCTTGCTTTGCACATGCCTTCAGAGAAGATGAAGGGCTTTAATTGGCAAATCAAGAATTTATGTGGGCTGGGATCTGCCTTAAGAATCAATCAACTACTCCCACAAAAGCAACTAAAACTCTACCTAACTATGACTGTTGTCCAGATCCTCTCCTTATTGGTCCCTTCATGGTTTGCTAAAATATCTTCAAAAATAAAGGTAAAGGTTCCCCTCGCACATATGTGCTAGTTATTCCTGACTCTAGGGGGCAGTGCTCATCTCTGTTTCAAAGCTGAAGAGCCAGCGCTGTCTAAAGACATCTCCGTGGTCATGTGGCCAGCATGATTAAATGCCGAAGGAGCACGGAACGCTGTTACCTTCCCACCAATTTCCTATTTTTCTACTTGCATTTTTACATGTTTTCGAACTGCTAGGTTGGCAGAAGCTGGGAGCTCATTCTGTTACGTGGCGCTAGGGATTTGAACCGCCGAACTGGTGGACTGATCAACAAGCTCAGAGTCTTAGCTACTGAACCACCCCGTCACCACTGAGCCACCTTCAAAAATACCTACCTAATATATGGTCAGCACATTCAATGTAGACATTGGGTGAACAGATGGTCTCATTTCCTGAAAGAGAAGAGTGTGGGTAGTAGTAGTTAACCAGAAATGCCTCATTTACCCCAAACTCATCTCCTGTTATTCTTAGAGTTGGGACAGAGGGAGGGTGTCTAATAATTTTGCTATGTGGATGTAGATGAATATATCTTTTATTCTGCTGCCTTGGTATAAATGCATCCGTTGGCTAGAAGCCAAAAGAAGACAATATAATGTAACTTTCTCCTCTGCACATATTAGACTTACCATCACCACTAAATT